AAAAAAAAAAAAAAAAAAAAAAAAAACCAGAGGTCATGTTAAGGCTTTGAGAAAATGGTCAGCCAGCTAGGAAAATCCTTTCCCAAGCAGGCTGTTTGATTTGGAGGCTCCAAGCAAGAACAAGGTAATATCAGACATATTTCCTCTGCAGCATTCATTTAATGTATACTTACTGAGTATCTACTATTTGCTAGTTGAATTAGATATGCTTTCTGACCTGAAAGTGTATACATGCTTAGAGAGGGAGAAAATGAGTAAAGCAATGATGATGGTATAAAGGGAAGTACCTGGGGCTTTGAAGAGCACACAGGAGGAACACCTCTGCAAACAACTGCTGAGACGTTTTTGAATCAGGCCTTTCACAGTTGCTGCCTACCACTCCTGCAGGAGGTCTGTAAAGCAAAAAGACTGCAGATTGTTCAGCTTGTGATTTCAAAAACAATTATAAAGTACTATTTCCTCTACCTCTACCCACAAAGCCTAACTGCCATTATTTTTGCTAGAATGCTGTAAGCCTTGCATTTAAAAACAAAAGATTTTCAAACACCTTCAAAAATTTTTTGAAAATGTGTCATAGCTAAAGTCATCCACACAGATTAATCTCATTTTTTTTCCTCTTTCTGATAAAAGGGAAGATATGTGAGGAAAGTGAGAGGGTCACTTGGGATGGGCCTTCTTTAGTAGTAGCAGTAGTAGTAGCAGTATTTTGAGACAGTCTTGCTCTGTGGCCCAGGCTGCAGTGCAGTGGTGCAATCTGAGTTCACTGCAACCTCCACCTCCTGGGCTCAATCAGTTCTCAGACTCAAGCACTTCTCCAGCTCAAGCCTTCTGAGTAGCTGGGACTACAGGGGCGCTCAACCATGGCCGGGTAATTCTTTTGTGCTTTAGAAGAGATGGGCTTTCACCATGTTGGCCAAGCTGGTCTCGAAATCCTGGCCTCCAGTTGATCCGCCCGCCTCGGCGTTAAAAAGTGTTGGGATTATACAGGCGTGAGCCACCACGCCCAGACTAGCCTTCTTTGAACACTTGGCAAATACGTTGTCCGCTGGACTTAGGAAAAGGGCTGATTCCCACCTCCTGCAGTATTCTTCAAAAACACTAGGTGGCAGGAGCTCCACGGCAAAGAACGTCAAGGACCTGGAGCGAAAACGATACCTGAACTTTTTTGGCCTTAAAAGTATTAATCTACTTTTTTTTTTTTTTGTCCAGGCTGGAGTCCAGGCCAGAGCTCTGTTGTCCAGGCTGGAGTGCAATGGCGCGATCTCGGCTCACTGCAACCTCTGCCTCCTGGGTTAAGCCATTCTGCAGCCTCAGCCTCCTGACTACCTGGGACTACAGGTGCGCGCCACTAAGCCTGGCTAATTTTTTAATTTTTATTAGAGACGGAATTTCGACATGTTGGCTAGGCTGGTTTCGAAATCCGGACCTCAAGTGATCTGCTCGCCTCAGCCTCCCAAAGTGCTGGGATTACAGGCGTGAGCCACATCCGCCGGACTAAACCTTTCTTAAAAGGCTGGGTAGAGTAGAGATTCTAAAAAGACAAAAATCTGGGACTGCAATGGGCTTACTGAACTCTTTTGCTCCTGTTTTACTTATGAATGTTTCTTTGAAAATTCGTAATATGTTTACTTATGAATGTAAACGTTTGAATGTGTGGCAGAATTTGGCCTAAGACGTGTTTTTACTGTAACCTGATAAAGAGGATGTAAAGGAGTGGCTACTCTATGGCTACTACCTATTTATGCAAAAAAACCTAAGAGTTGAGCATGACTAAGTTAGCTTGATTCAGTTCACAATTATGACATACACAAAATAGATTTTTCATTTTTATTTAAACATTTTACATTAAATGAAATGTAACCGTAATCATTACAGAACATTACCACAATAATAGACACAACCTTTAAAATAAAAAAAGAATACAACTCTCAACTACTTAAATGCCACTTTACTATGTAAACATAAAATAAAACCCTGATGCTAAAAAGGTACATGTTCAGAGGTAAAATACATATACAAAAAACATTTAAACTAACATAATCCACAACTAGATCACATTCTTTGCAAGAGAGTACAAATATTAGTACTCTACAGCTACAAAATTTCAGAATCCTGTTAAAATCAAAACCGCTGCTGGTTTATTACACACAGCACAATTCATAAGGCAAAAATATAGGCATTATCATCCAGTTCTTTAATTTCACTTGTATTTTAAGGCAAACTTGGAACTTTTTGCTTAGTATTTTAAAATAAATGGGACTTACACATGATAACTTGACAAAATTAATAAATTATCTCTATTTAAAGATGTACACTATAAAAGACATACTGATAACAATTTTTCTCTCTGCAGAGATGTAAACTGGATTTTTGACTCCATAGTCACACCAGTAGGAAAATTTGTAAACCTATTGTATTAAAAATGTATTGTATTCCTCACTCTTTTCAAATGTGCATCAACACCAAATCAATGTACTGTAAGTGAAAATCCAGTACATATCCAGCCGTAGAATAATTGTTATCTAATTAAATCATGTCTAATTAAAGTGCTGTTTACAAAGGGAAAAAAAGGTTAAGAAATAGAACTGGATGTTTACTTGACATCTGACATCTTATAATTTATTAACTTTTAGACTACAGAGGTTATGAGGTTATCACAAGTTTACTGAACTTTAAGCAGTAAGTATTTATTGTAGAATCTGTTTTTCCTGAAAATGAGCACTTAGGTGACAATACCAGGAATCCAACACCAAAACTGAAAACAAACACACCTACATATATTTCTCTCAATGTCAGCCAGAGCCTTGATACTATAGGAAATACATATTTTTAAATTTTCTATAGTTTTCCTACTAGAAAATACATTATCCAATTCTAGGAGATTTGGAGTTCCATAAATATTAGGTTTTTAAATATTTCTTTTTCATGCCAATAAAACCTAATTGGACACTAAGAAATTGCTTATGCATAAACTAGTTCTCTAATCACTTCTTATGACATCAGAGATAAAGAATTAGATTCACCCTTCAACATAATAGTTATTAGGGTCTCTCCCACTATATTTTACTCTCTTTTAATGAAAAAGAGTGTATCTTACTTATCTCTCTAGCTCCCACAGCATCTAACAGAATATCTCATATATAAAGTAAACCCTCCATATGTGTCAGATTATCTAAATAAAATTTCATAACCTAATGCCATTTTCCTATCACTTGATACCACTTCCTGTATTTTAATATTCACTCATATTTAAAACAATAATAGCAATAACATGGAATTTGTAAATATCCTTGGAGCTACATTAAAAGCCACTTACATTCTATTACAACATCCAATGAATATTGAATAGCCAAAGATGTCTAACAGATTAACTCATTATAATTACAGAAGGCAAGTATCTTGCAACTGATTACATTAATTCCTATTTCCCAGTGCTGCTCTTTTCCAAAATATTTCTGGGAAATCTTAAATAGCTTTTATTTTCTTGCCTGAATATGTGTAATTATTTCTAATACTTTTAATCCTGAGGATTTATAACCAAACATTTTGATCCTTTTTAACATTAGAAACATGTGGCTTTAAATTAACAATCTGTCAGCAGTGTTCATAATGAAACTTCTCACAAATTTGTAAAAGAAGGCTCAAATGTAAACATATTAGTTGTCAGGACAGATTAGTAGCTCTGGTTGTTATGAATAGTACACTAGGTTAAGCAATTCTAAAAGAAATATACCTTTAAATTTTGAACATTTTTTCTCTTCCCTTCACAGATTTTTATGATCTGCTTACTGGTGTATGGTTCCTACTACTGCCCAAGGTGTTTCACATTTAGTCTTCCTCAAGACGAAATTTAGATTTTTCAAAAACAAAGACCAGTATATGTTTTTGATCTATTTATCAAATGATCATACAATAATTTGATAGTGGAGATGTTACATGAGTAAAACATTATTAAAATACGATGTATAGAATAGATGTGTTTATAATTAAAATCATTTTCTTTAGTCTTTCAAATTCCTTTATCTTTAGGGAATAGGGGATTAAAATAGTATAATAGGATATATTTAGTAATTAGATTGATATAAACAAAGAAAACTAAATTGGGGATTTAAAACTAAATATGTGATGAATCTATTTTAAATTTCTTTTCTTTAAATAAAATCTGGGCCAACCACAATAGTGCACCTACTTCTATGTAATAGATTTATTCAAATCAATGAAAAAGTTATTGCTATATATTATTATGTTATTCAAACAAGCAACATAGAAAATACTCAGACTATCAATTGTATTAGTTGCTCCTGTTGAGTTCTAAATTAGAAGAGACTAAAAATCACTTGCAAGGTTTCGTAATCTGTGCAAATATTCATAAAGCATGATACGTTTACGATTAAAAATGATTTTACATAGTTTCGTAGTATATATTTAAATCTACAACTGGTAGTTCATGGAAGAACAAAGAACTGTAAATTGCCCGGCTATAGTATTCAAGAAATAAACATATATACTAACAAATGAACCTATGTTTTATCATTACAAATGGCTTCTTAACAATAGTCTACAACATTATGGCACTTAAGAATATAGTATGAATTTTTTTCTTAGGAAAAATTATACATTGGTCTTGCAGAAACTTTATAAGGAGATTGCAGACAGGTTAAAAAAAATCAAGGAAAAGAAAACCAAATGACTACAGTACCAAAATACAAGTACCAACCATCATAATAAAATGCAAGTGAGTGTATTTAAGACTAACAGACATTTACTAAAACATGCTAAAATAAAATAAGTTAACCACTTCCTTTAAATAAGCTGTCACTGGCTACAGCAAACAATTTTGCTTTAAAACATCATTTCTTTAATCAAAGTAGAACTCAACTTAGAACCATTACTCAAGTAAAAATTGAGTTCCAGTTTTCCTCAATAACATTAAAAAATTTAGTTACCTAAAGAAATGTACAAAGTAATACATAACTGCCTAGTGCTTTATATTTAATGCATATATTTCTGTTTTCAAGAAGGACATGTAGTATCTAGCATAAGAGGAAAGAAGATCAAAAGTGTAACTTTCTTTATATCGCTATTCAGAAACCATGTAAAGCATAACATAGGCCATTTTGATGATTTTTGGATGTTAACATTAGTGTAATCACTAACATTTTTAATAAGCACAAATGAATCAAGCCATTAAAAATGCAAAAGACTATCAAAACATGTCATGCATATCTCATACTGAACATCCAAAAGGACATCCATTATAGCCTTGTTATAAATCCTACAATTAGCACCATTTTTTAAAAATCTGAACACTTTGAAAAAGCAAAGATCTTAAAAAACTAAAATTGTTGTAAGGATATATGAAAACAATTAATATGCACTAAGAATGGTACTAAACACTGCTCAAATATTTACATCAGCACTGGGAGGCCTGCTGTACTACTGAAGAAAAACTGAAACAACTGATATACTTAACTCCTATCCATGCTAACCATAGCATAGACAGGTAATTAAATTCATCCAATGTTAACCTGCCCATATACAAAAGGCATAAACAGCAAATTTATCTGACTTCCTAAAATAGGGCCCCAAATATCATGATAATAAAAGCAATTGTCTTAAAAATTTATTACATCCCTAGCCCTAAAACCATTTAGCAGGAAGAGTATTCAGATGACTCCCTATGGCATGTTATTTACAACCCTTAAAAGTACCAAAATAAAAAGCAGCCCTTTATTTGTTTTAAAACAAATAAAAAATGTGAAGCATAGGAATTTACATCTCAGAAGCAGTATCAGCACTCTGCCCATTCACTCAATATACGCCAGCACCTAAAGCATTGCTCATCCTAGTAAATCATGGTATCAGGGAAAAAGAGCTAAAATTAAAAAAAGAGAGAAAAAAGCAGCGACGTTTTCTCTACATGGACACTTATGAATATAAAACTAGTATATCTCAGTCTTAGGGGGAAGTGCACAATTCAATTGGCAAGGTCTTTACTTATTTTTTCTTTTGAATTATTGATTTACTGTGTAATCAAGAGCAACTAAAATGACTTGTCAATTAAAAGTACCCAGCAAAACTTTGAGTCTTCATGCTACTTCAAGTTAAAAAGAAAGCAATGCAGCTTGTGGGTTTCAGAAAACTGGGCCATCCGTTCATGCAGTACAAGTTTCACCACCATACTATTTCCAAGAGTTCACACTTGTCAAAGTGCAGTTAACCCAAAGTTGCAGCGACAGTATATCATGCCAGCTGCGTCCAGCCACGTATCTGAGATAGGATCATATTTCTGCACTGTATTCAGATAGGAAGACCCTGAGTGACCACCGACTACATAAAGGTAGTTATCGATTACAGCAGCACCAACTCCTAGGAAAGGTTGATAAAAAGAAGAAAGAAACATGTTAACTATGAAGTAGACTTTTTCTCACTAAAAATAAATTTGTATTTTAATGCTTTCTTAAAATACATTTTAACAATTATTAATTATACAAGCAATATACGGCAGTCCCCTTATCTGAGTTTTTGCTTTCCATGCTTTCCTGCAGTCAACCATGACTAGAAAATAGGGAGTAATGTACAGTAAGATACTTTGAGGGAGACCACATCCACATAACTTTTATTACAGTACATTGTTACAATTGTTCTATTCTGTTATTGTTGTTAATCTCTTACTGTGCCTAATTCACAAACTAAATTTTGCCATAAATATATATGTATAGGAAAAAACATTGCATATATTGTGTTGGGTATTATCTGCAGTTTCAGTCCACTGGGGGTCTTGGAACATATCCTTCTGGGTATGGGGGCCCACTGTAGCAATATGTGTTTGTTGGAAAAACACAATCCTCAAAATAAAAGTAAGAGTTACTGAGGTGGGAGGATCACTGGAGGCCAAAAGTTTCAGGCTGCAGTGAGCTATGACTGTTTCACTGCACTCCTGTCTGGCTCAACAGAGTAGGACCCTGCCTAAAAACGAAAATAAAATCAAGTTAAGAGTTGAAATCTTCCTTTACCTTTCCTCTCTAATCCTACTCCTTCACTATAGGAAAATGGAGTCTATCTTTCCATAGGCTTTCTTCCTTTAAATTTCATTTCATTCTAGAAGAATCGTTTTATGAGATTTTCAAATACATTGAAAGATTTAAAATATATTAAATAATTTACACTTCTAAAAATTCTACTTTAGATATTATCAGGTATCATTCTAAAAAGAAACGGTTTACCCCAAATTTTTAAATTCTCATTGTTGCTATGACTTTCCCTCTCAAGGATACCAAACACACAAATTATAGTAAACACTAAAATAGCTCATTTCAGTTCGTCCTTTCAGTTTCTCTTGCATGTTTGTTTCAAGAGTTTCTTTCATCATAAACACAGGTTGAATATCCAATATCCAAAAATATGAAATCCAAAGTGCTCCAACATTTGAAACATTTTTTTTTTTTTGAGATAAGAGTCTTGCTCTATCTCCCAGGCCAGGGTGCAGTGGCATGACCTCGGTTCAAGCGATTCTCGTGCCTCAGCCTCCTGAGTAGCTGACACTACGGCATGTGTCACATTCGAGGCTAATTTTGTCTTTTTAGTATAGACAGCATTTCACCATGTTGCCCAGGCTGGTCTCGAACTCCTGACCTCAAGAGATCCTCCCACCTCGGCCTCCCAATGTGCTAGGATTATAGGTGTGAGCCACCGTGCCCGGCCCAACATCTGAAACTTTTTGTTGCTCAAAGGAAGTGTTCGCTTAAGCATTTCACACTTTAGATTTTTGAACTTGGCGTGCTCAACCTGGTAAGTATAATGCAAATATTCCAAAATCCCAAATCCAAAATCTGAAACACTTCTGGTCCTAAGCATTTTGGATAGGATAGCCAACCTGTATGAGGAGTGCTCCCCAAAGCACTTCCATCAGTAACTTAAAATCTTTCCTGTAAAATGATGTGATGAGTTTAAGTTCAAACATAACAATTTCTCCTGAACCACAAAGGTAGATTTTTTTTTTTTTTTTTTTCTAGGAACTCTGAAATGCAACCCTTTTTGATCAACTATACTCCTTCGGGAAGAAAGAACATTTGAAAGCGAACATACAGATTACTGATACAGAATAGAAAACAAAACAGAACAATCCAAGGATTGTATGTATGTAACAAGTGAAAAGATGACCTCTGATATATGGACAAAAATAGCTTCTGTAAGTATACACTCTAGCATAAGCATTTCCCAAAATGCATTCACCAAGTTTGAGAAACAATAATCTGCACATTGGCATATACAAGTCACAATAAAGAAATCCATATAATTTTGTCTAGCTAACTGTCTTTCAAGTTTACCACATACAAGTTTGTTTGTTTGTTTGTTTGTTTTTCTGGACAAGTAATATCCCTGCTGTTATATTCCAAGGAACTATTAGTCCAATTACATCATTATAGAAAAAACTACCTTATATGTTTAGAAATTAATAAATTATTATTACCTGTTCTAGGTTCTTTCATCGGTCTACACACAGTCCACTGATTTTGATGAGGATCATATCTTTCAATGCTTGACAAATGTGAGACTCCATTATGTCCACCCACCACAAAAATAAAACCTAGCATGACACCCACGCCAAAGTGAATCCTTTTATCTGCCATGGATGCAACCATCTCCCAGGAGTCCTTACTTGGATCATAACGCTCCACACTGCAAATATTTTTTAAAAAAATAATTAATTTACAGATCTTTCATATCGTTCTTCCTGCCAAAGCAAAACTAAAACCCACTATAGCTTTAAAGGTTCACATAATAGATATTAAACAAGAGTAGTCTGCCACAACTGCTTAGGTTTTGCTGATAAGATTACAAGGACAAAATCTTACCTTGTAAACAGGGTGCAATTCCACATGCTATTCCATTATATTGTACAAGTAGCAAAGTCTATTAAGAGCACAGAACTTAGAGTCAGAAGACCTGGGTTCAAGTACTAATTCTGTATATCTAGGGCTGAACAAACCTTAGCCCTACTACTGTAGATTTGTATAATCCTGAACAAGTAATTTCCTCTTACCTGCAAAAATGAGGATAGTTTTTTTTCTTCAAGGGATTCATGTAATAAAGTCAAATGAGTATGTATATGACTTTGAAAACCAGTAATTGAATACAGATTTGGTTTTTGTTTCTAAATTTTATTTATTTATTTTAGAGACAGGTCTTGCTCTGTCACCTAGGCTGGAGTGCAGTGACACAATCATAGCTCACTGCAACCTCAAATTCCAGGGCTAATGTGATCTGTCTCAGCCTCCTGAGTAGCTAGGACTAAAGGTACAAGTCACCATGCCGGGCTAGAATACAGAGGTTTTTAGGATCTTCTATACCGTTAAGGGAAAAGGAAGAGGAAGAGAAGGGGGAAAAGAAAAAAAACATTTTTTATTTCTCACAGGATAATTCATGTGGTTTACTGCAAAGCAATTACTGTAGATTGCATAGTACAAACTGGCTAATCATAATTATCTCAGGGTTATTTAGGAGTACTCAGGAATTTTATAAGTCGACCAAGACAGTTAAAAAAAAAGAAAAAGAATTTTTAAAAAAAGGAGTACTCAGGAATTTGAGTCAAGACTGTGTTCCAGAGAACCTGTGGCATATCCAAGCTGTATTATGGAATCCAAACTAAATAAGAATTTTCAAAAAGGCTTCCCTAGAAAATCCTAGCGGCTGTTTAAGACTATGGTTTGCCCTGAAGGGGCACAAAGGTACAAAGGTGAGATTGTTGGGCTTGTTCTGGCCGTAACCTAATTTCCTGAAAAAACCTTAAGCATTTGAGAAGCTGTTACACCATTCTGGAGTTCATAATAGAGACTGGGTAACAATGTTCCTGAAAGAACTCCAGGATAGAATCCATTAGACCAAAATTACTGAAGAGTTGATGAACTGCAGCAAGACCTTCAAGAGCATCAAATTTAAAATACTTAACCTTTTAGCTTATAAATTTTGGCCAGAAGTTTTTCAAATAATAGAAATGCATGTCTATGTCCCAAATATTTTTCCTTTAACTAAGGCAAAAAAAAAAAAAAAAAAAAAGGAGGAAAATTTTGGCTTAAATAGAAGTAAAAATTTATAGATGAAATGCTGTTGTGCCATCACTGTCTCAGTCAACAAACCTCGGAAGTTGTAGATGATTGGTTCCAGGATCCACCCCATCCCAAGGATACCAAAATCTGCAGTTGCTCAATTTCCATATATAAAATAGTGTAATATTTGCATATAACCTACATATACCTTCTTATATACTGTAAATCGCCTCTAGATTACTTATAATGCTTTGCAAATAGCTATTACACTGTATTATTTTTCATTTGTTTTTTATTATTGTAAATTTTTTCAAAGATTTTCTTATCTACAGTTGGTTGAATCTGTGGATAGGGAACCCGTGGATATGGAAGGCTGACTGTATGCTTGCTCATTAAAATACTCACAATCAAAATAACACAAACCACTCTAATTACTATTTAAAATAAAATCTTTTCTTTTTTCTTTTTGACAGGGTTTCATTCTGTTGCCCAGGCTGAAGTGTAGCGGTGCAATGAAGGCTCACTGCAGCCTCAACCTCCTGGGCTCAAGCAATCCTCCCTTGTCAACCTCCCAAAGTGTTGGGATTACAAGCATAAGCCACCACACCTGGCCAAAGATAAAATCTCTGGAACATCAATTTTCAATAAAGGTTCAGAATTATGATTAATTTCCCATATAACCAGTTACTTCACTTTTATTTTTTCCTTTATTCAGATAATACTACAGAATACAGATATCACAAATTTGAACTCCAGCACAAGTCAAATACCTAATGATACATGTATGATTACAGAATAAGAATTCAGAAAGGAATATTTAAATAAGGTTTTAAGTATATGATGGGTTATAGTATTGTATAGACATATAGGAATTAAATTTCCACTTCTTTATTCTATTAAGCAATACAATAAAAGTTTACACACTGTGCACATATATATATAATATATACATGTATATATAACATATATTATATATATTATTTTATGATAATATATATTATAATAAAATATATATTATCTATGTGTGTACATATATACATGTATATATACTTATATAATATATACACGTGTATATGTATATATCATATATACACATGTATATATATAATATATATACATATATATATACACACACAGACACACACACCACACAAAATCTAAAGTTGTCTAACGTCATATTATTTTTAGGTTTCTGAGTTTTAAAATCTAGTCCATTTACACTGAAAGAACATAAAATTTAATGAGAGGGATGTTAGGTTTGTATTAAATTTCCATGTAAAATAATTATAATTATAACCTATAGAGCAGATTAAGTTTCCCAAATACTGGAAGTTAATTCATATACACAAATTGTTCAAAACTCAGAAATCATGGCTAATGAGACTTTTAAAAATCCACAAACATATATGATTTAATTATTAAATTAAATACCTGTTCATGTGGGCAGGACCATACCCACCAATGGCATATATCATTCCATCCAATACAGCTGCAGCAAAACAACTTCTTGTTGTAGTCATTGGTGCCACAGGTTGCCATTTTCTTATTTTGGGAATATATTTCTCTACAGATTGTAAATAAGATTGTCCATCATAACCACCTAAGGCATACAGTTCTCCTGCAAGTACTACTACTCCAAGAGTACTTCGGCTTTCATTCATTCTCTCTAGAGAAGTCCAAGTATTTGTATCAGGATTCCAGCATTCTACTGAATTTTCATGTTTTCTGATAGTGACGCCAGGACGCACATTAGTTTCAATACCACCTATAACATATACTTTTTGGTCTAAAACGCATATTCCAAATTCATAGCGAGGAATGTTTAGGGGTGCCAAACCAATCCAAGAGTCATTTTGAGGAAAGTACATCTCCACACTAAAGAATAAGCAGAAAAAAATTAAAATTTAAAAACTGAAGTGGCCCATAAAGACAGATGTGTTTAATCTTATTAGTAATCAGGGACACAAAATTAAAACCATGATAAACTAAGACATATCTTCCAAAGTGGCAAAAAATGCAAAGTCAGATAACAACTGTTGACAAGAATGTGTAGCAAGAAATGCATACTCCATTGGTGAGAGTGTAAGCATGTATAAATTACTCTGGAAAACAATTTTACCTTAACCAAAATTGTTGAAGATACATGTTTCCTGACTCAGCAATTATATTCCTATGTATCTACTCTTCTGAATGTCTTATTACAGTCAGTTTTGCATCTAGACACATATACAGAAATGTTCACAGAGACAACACCATCATCCAGCAAAAGGAGAACAGTCAAATAAAGTGTACTTTATGTGTCCTGTCTGAGCAACTCTACTGAAGAGAAAGCATGCATACATATATGTACAAGAGTGTTTACTACAGTATTATTTGTAACAGCTCCAAAGTGGAAACAATCCAAATGTTCATTCACTATAAAATGGATAAATTGTGCTGTATCATACAAGAGAATACTATATGGCAATGAAAAGGAACAAACTACAGCTACATGACGCTGGGGGAATCTTACACACACAGTGTAGAGAGAAAAAAAGCCAAATTCAAAAGGATACCAATTAAGTTCAAAAACAGGTAAAATGAATCTCTGGATTAGGAATAAGGATAGTGGTCACCTTCAGGGAGGATAAGAAGGGATCTCAAAGGTGGCCTCTGAGTGTTGGTCATACTCTATTTCTTGAATTGGTTTGTAACGTTTATTTTGTGGTAATTCACTGAGCTGTACATTTAGGATTTGTACATTTTTCTGTGTGCATGTAACACTTTAATATTTAAAATTAAAATTTTTATTGTAGAAAGATAAAGTGTATTATGCTTGTACATGATATAATATCACATTTCAATTAAGTTAACCATTTCCTCATGCAGTCTCACAGATGAATTTCACAAACATTGTTCATTGAAAAAACGTCTGTGAGTAACATATATTACTGCATTTATATTAAATGTGCAAAACCTAACAATATATCAGGGCACATTTGGTATGTGGCAAAATTATATGAAAAGCAAGGGAATAGTTCATAAAAATTCAGGGCAGTGGATACTTCCAGAGGAAGGGAGGTGGCAGCAAGGAGGGACACAGGAGGACTTCAAAAGTATTGTTAATAGTTTCCGAAGCTGGCTGATAGGTACTTGAGTATTTATTCTTGACCCACGAACCTATACCTATATACTATATAATATTTTGCATGTATATATATATACACACACACACACACATACATATATATGCATGTAAATAGTTCTGTTAATAGTCCACTGTTTTACATTTAGTACATCTGTGTCTGCTAATACAGTTAGCTTTCTCACTTTTCTGCTTGTTTGTTGAGGCTGAATTAAAATTAGACTTAAAAAAAAAAAAGGGATTTCCCTCTCTGAGTTCCCCTCCCACAATAGCGTGGGGGCTGCCTTCTCTCTCTCTCTCTCTCTCTCTCTCTCTCTCTAATAAATTGCTCTTCCACAAAACTCTTTGGGTCCATGATTTTGTTTGGACAGTAAATTCACCGCGTCTCTGGGCCCCTTTCCCCATTCTTCGGGGTTAGAGAGGCCAAGAACCTGCGAGCTGGGTACTCCCCCAGTAACTAATCTGTTGGCAAGCCAGCCAGAAGACATCACATCAGACTTCAGAATGAATTGATGCCATGAGGTTACAAATAGTCCTGCAAATGAAACCCCAGATGTCCCTGGATCATAAGTTCTATCCTGTACCTCTGGGTTGACCTGTACCACTGGAAGACTCCCCTCTGGAGGAAACCTCAACTGCAGGGCCCCTTCTATGCCCCAATTCAGCAGGAAGTAGTTAAGACAGCTATGGAGGCCTGTGTTCAACAGCAGTTGGACTTTCCTGTTCAGAGGGGGATTGAGGGACTGTGTTAAAGAAACTTCTCTCCCTGGGTCTGCTAGGGGAGGGGTTTCAAATGCAGGAATTTCCCGGCTCCCCCATGAGGCGGCTGGTGCTCCTTGAGCACCTCCTCCATGTGGGCCAGGTAACATTCTTTGTCTGATCTTCCTGCTTGCAGGAAAGCCATATGGGGCTCTTTTGTCCCAAATTCCCACAGAAAGCTCTGGGAGGAGGGGACTCTGTAATTCAGGGTTGTGGAACAAGTAGCCAATCTGGTATCACAGTCAAAGATCAATCACTCCAGAGGAAGTTTGAAAGAACTCCTCACTGGACGAGAACTGGATGAATGGGGAGAGGGGAGCAACTCAAGGGTTAAAACTTCAGCTGATTTCACTCCCTGGGTTCCCCTTCCACAACAGCATGGAGCTGTCTTTTCTCTCGCTGTCTAATAAATCGCTCTTCCACAAACAAATAAACAAACATCAACAACATATATATGCTTCTTTATCCTCCAAAAGCTGGGAGAAAGTAGCTAATGTCCCCCAACTCAATAACGTAATAGCATTAAAAAAAGTCCTCTATCCAGTATAATCAAGATATATTCATTCACTCAATAGTTACTGAATTCCTGTTTATGGTCAGTTGTTACAATATTTGTTTTAAAAAATATGAATTTGATGAAATGATATATCATGGAATACTCTGACCCTAACAAGGTCTAAAAGAGAATGGGAGATAAGGAAGTGAAAACAGGGGGTATAGACAATTTTCCAATGATTTTTACTATAATGAGTAAAATAAATATGAGGAGATAGCTATAAAGGGGAGCAGAGAAAGACCATGGGGACCAGAAAGGATTAATTTAATCTGGAAGCTTAAGCTAGAATGTGTTTGCATGCAGATGGTAATGATACATACAGTACAGAGGGAGAGAGGGAGAAGGTGATGATACAGGAGAGAGATAGGATAAATGGAAGGGCAAAGTCTTTGTGTAATGGAGAGTGAGTGAAATCTAGTGAAATAAGTAGAGAAGTGGAAGGGTTGGTCTTAGATAGAAATAAGTCAGTAGATTTGGTGTTGGGAAGATGAGGTAGTTCTCTTCTGGTTGCTTCCACCTTTTCAGTAGAGTAACAGGTAAGGGAAATGGGTTTTGGATGTTAGGAGAGTAGAAAGTGTGAGACATGAGGGAGTCAAATAATAAACTGATTAGAGAAAAGTAGAGGGGCGTGCTGGGGAGTGCTTAAGGCCCCACGTGAGACCAGTTAAAATGAGTATGTAGGTTTCTCTAGTCATAGTCTGCTGCTCAGATGCAGCCATGGCATAAGCGGAGAATTGAATTTAACTAGAGGAGTATGATGAGGAACAGAAAGGCAAAGGAGCTGTGGTGTATTTCAAGGAATGACGTTGTGACGTTCCTCCAATCTAAGCTAGGTAAGCTGGGAAGATAAGAATATGTGGTAGTTAAAGAACGATTAGTTCTATTGATTATGGGGCCAATGGATGAAGAATCCTGAAAGGAACAAAGACTCATTGGAGGGTATGTACTGAAATAAATAAGCTGGCAAAAGAAAACCACTGTCAAAGAGTGGAATGTGTGAACCAAGATTTTTGAATGGTTGAAGTTACCAATAATGACAAAGGCTGCCATGCTGTATGTTTTTAGCTAAATCATCTTGAGAAATCCGTAACTTCTAGATAATCCATCATCATAACCTTTAGTCTTACTATCATTTTTATTTACTCTCATATAATATATGAGAGTCTTACTCTCATAAAAATAAATATATGGTCGGGCACCATATATACGTATTTTTGAGACAGTCTCGCTCTGCTGCCCAAGCTGGAGTGCTATGGTGTGGTCCTGGCTCACTACAACCTCCGCCTCCTGGGCTCATGCGATTCTCCTGCCTCAGCCTCCTAAGTAGCTATAAATACAGATGCCTGCCACCACACCTGGCTAGTTTTTTGTATTTTTAGTAGAGATGGGTTTCACCATGTTGGCCAGGCTGGTCTTGAACTCCTGAACTCGTGATTCTCACCCCTCAGACTCCCAAAGTGCTGGGATTACAAGCGTGAACCACTGTACTCGGCCATATATTTATTTTTATGAAAGTAAGACTCTCATATATTTCTTTATATGAGAGTAAATAAAAATGATAGTAAGACTAAAGGTTATGATGATGGATTATCTAGAAGTTATAGATTTCTGGAGATTATTTAGCTAAATACATACAACATATAATGTCATTAGTCCTTATGGTCTTTTGAGGGTGCCTTAGTTCATTTTCTGCTGATAGAATGCTACAGACTGGGTAATTTATAAAAAACAGGAGTTTATTTGGCTTATGGTACCGGAGTCTGGGAAGTCCAAGAATATGTTGCTGGCATTGGGAAAGGTTCATCTCATGGTAGAAGACGTCACATGGGTAGCTAGCAAGCCTGTGCACAAGACAGAGAAAATGACAGCCAAACTTATCCTTTTATCAAGAGCCCACTCCCACAATAATTTACTCACTCCCATAATAATGGTATTAATCCCTTCAAGAGGGCAGAGCCTTCAGGGTCTACTCACCTCTTAAAGGCCCCGCCTCCTAATATTGTTCAATGGTAATTAAGTTTCCAAAATATGAACTTTTGGGGAGCACTTTCAAACCATAGAATTTTACCCCTGGACCTCAAAATTCATATCCTACTCACATGCAAAATATATTTATTCCATCACAATAGCCCCAAAAGTCTTAACTCATTCTGGCATCACCTCAAAAGTCCAAAGTCCAAAGTCTATCTAAATCATATATGAGCGAAATTCAAGGCATGGTACATCCTGAGGCAAACTCCCTTCCAGCTGTGAGCCTGTGAAATCAAAACAAATTATTTACTTCCAAAATACATCGGTGAGAGGCATAGGATAGATATTCTCCTTCCAAAAGGCAGAAAGACAAGGAGTAGGAGGCCCCAGGTAAGTTCAAAACCCAACAAAGAAAACATTAAGTGTTAAAGCTGGTGAATAATCTCCTTTGACTCCATGTCCTGC